AAGCGGCGATTAGGCGTCCCCGAGGCGCGCGCGGAAGGAGATGGAGGGGATCTAGCGCTCGTCAAAATCTAAAGTAAATCCTAATCGGATTAGCATGAGTCGACTCAACACCCGAGCAGCTTTTGTTCCCCAAGTTTCAACGACGACGTCTTGGGGCTCCTTGGGGCGTGCGTCTCCTTTATCCAATGAGCTAACGACTCGAAGTCTCGAGGCAGGAAAATTGCGCCGGGGCGCAACGAGAGGGAGGGCGCGACGGAGGTAGGTAGGTGCAGCATGCGATGCGCGATACATCGAGAAACATCGTTGATGCGAGGCGAGGGTGCAGGTTTATTTTTGGCTTATGGGAATAACTTTTTTAATAAGCAGCTCGAGAAAGTGGCGGGATACTGAAAACGGATATAGCAAACTTAATTAAAGGGAGACTGAGAGGAGAGTAGGAGCGACGCGTGAATAAATGTACATCTTGAAAGATAATTGCAATCAGTAAACGTGCGTAAAGGAGAGAGGATAACGCGAGAAAAAGAAAATCAGCAAAGAGAACGAGAGAAAGGTAAGGGACATAAGCGTCGGATATCGCGTCAATGAGTTTAGTCATGATAGGGTTATTTCAAGTTGTTTCGCTCCGAGAGCGGATATATACATAGCAGAGGTGCAACGGATCCTATGCTCCTTCCTTCCAGGCATACATATACATAATACATACACACACAGACTATTGCAATGTCCATTCACCTCTCTCTCTCTCTCTCTCTCTCTCTCTCTCTCTCTCTCTCTCTCTCTCTCGCTATATCGAGATGGCCGAATTAACCCGGAGCTCCGACGGACGCTGCGCCCGCGCGCGTCGAAGCGTAAAACGAAGCTCCGCCGCTACCGCGGTGTTTCGATGGCCTTTCGCCTGCGAGATGTATCCCTATTCGATTACGTTTCTCTCCCGTCTGGCGCTCCCCCGCGCACCGAACGAGTCCGGGATACCTTGGTCCGGGCACTAGCAACAAGGGCAGATTGTTTAAGTTAGCGATGCGCGACGACCCGACTCATTCCGCGACGCTCGGCCGAGTTCTGATTAAAAGAAAACAGCGACGATCGACCAACTTTGAATCGCGCTCGCGCGATTTTGACGCAATCTTCGCGTTTAGTGCGCGCGTTTATTCAACGGACTAGAACCGATCCTTCAGTGTTAATATTTCCCAACTCTGATCGATTAATTTTTCTTCAACTGAAAATTGAAGTTTACGAGTTGCCCCTCCGATGTCCAGATAGATGGAAAAAATTTATGATGGATGAGATAAGATAAATTAGAAAGAGAATGATATATCGAGATTGTTTTGAAAAAGTTCAGTAACGTATGATGACTAATTGATGATTAATTCGATTAACGATGTTCTCGCCATTCTAATCAATTCACACGCAAATATTTGACGCCAAAGTTAGTAAAAAAAATTTCAAACAATAGTGAAGAATAGGTTTCGAGAAGCAGCATTACCCAATGAGATCTTGTGGATAAAAAAGTTTTAAACATTTAAAAGTCCGCCCCTTTCTTTATAATACATCGTATTCTTCCTTTTTTATAGAATTATTGCGCTTCTGTTCATTTTTTAATACATTCAATTTAATAATTCCATTTGATTTTCATTTGTAATCACTTTACGTAGCCACTCAAGCGCAATTATTATACACACCGTCACGCAATTTCATTACATTCACGTTTATATAAGTCCCCTTTATGAATTTTAGAAGAACCTCACCTAAAACCTCGTCGGTCCTCCTCCGAACAGGGCGTGAAATCGGCAACCCGCCTTTTAAATCAACTTAACGGCCGATCGATGGTCAAATTAGGTTAGGTGCTTCGTGAAAGCTTCTCGCTACGGTGCACCATGGAGAGCCTCGCTCCTTGGAGACCGACGAGATATTGCTCCGACTCTATTAAGAGACAAGAGCGACAAGCCCATCTTGGACTTTCGGCGCTTTCCAGAAGCCGCCTCTCGAACTTCCGGTTCGGCTGCACGGCAAAACCGGCAAACACGCATCGCCGACGATCGGAGGAGGTGTTATGAAACTGGGACGGAACTGCAAATCACTTATTAGGGATGGCTTCGTGTAACAAAATGTACGTTGTCGTTATGGCAGATAAGAAGCTTGGCGGATCAAAGGAAGCCGCTTTTATACGAACTTATGTATAACCCTATAGAATCACAATCTTGTCAAAGAGATTCCGTTCTATTTAGAAATAATTAAAACACTTATTCAAAATCTATGTCGAGTCGTTTGTTCTAAAGTGTGTGTGTGTGTGTGTGTGTAAGAGAGAGAGAGAAGACATATTTATTGTATAACTTGTCCAACGTACATTAATCCTTCGCGCGATTATTTGAACATTAATATCCCATTTATTCCCGCGAAGTTTCTATTTAAACATTTTCAATACTTCCAACAATTATGCATAAGCGTACGTGCGGTAATTACGTTTGATTTCGCCTGTACACACACCGAATAATGTTATTCGCCATTATGGAAACGCGAAACGCTGTTGCACAACTTTCTATAAAGTGGAAATTGAACTTTCTGTACGGGTTGACGCGTATCTCGCATCGATTCGGCATTGAGTATTAATTACCGCATTGTGATATCCATTCCGCGCCGTCAAGTTGGTTGCGTTATGAACGCGATGGTGATTATTTTGTACGAGATAAAATAATATTACGACACGTTGTTATTTCAACTGCGCGTGAGAGCTCATTGTAATTTAAAATCTATGTATCGCTTTGTTAAAAACAATATAACATAGTTATATAATATGCAGTGCCATATAAACAAAACCATATAAACTAAAAATGTTGTTTATGATAACATTACCAATTTTTTTTTCAAATTATATGTTTTCTCAATTTATACGTTTTAATATTAAAAAATAAATATTTCAGAATTATCAATAGCAGATTCTGCCCTTATTTCCATTTTACAACAAATTCGATGCATTATGCAACACACACTTCACCATTATTTAAATAAAAATGTTATTCACGCAGAAAATAGGAGAAATAAAAGAAAATGCATTATCAGTTTCCACGCGAAAAGAGAAAGAAACAATATTTTATATTTGAATGGAAATTTATTCGTAAATTTGATACTGCGTCATTATTGAAATTAAAATGTATTCGAAAATGAGAGATACCGATTATACAAAGAGAGAACTGATTGATTCATCGATTAATAAAAAGTAGCCTTTATTTTCTCGAATAAATAAATCACCTTCAAATAAATGAGGTAAAAAAATAAATTCGCTAAACATAGCGTTTCGTAAATTGTAAATATGTTTTATCTTAAAAATAATTCTTTTGTTACATTTAAAATTCACTCGTCGAGAAATTCATGCAGATAAAGATGTAAATGCAAGTCTAAAATGACACAGGATTAAATGGTCATGACATGTGATCGCTAAGCGAGAAACTCTCGATTGCAATTATCGACGACTTTGCAAATAATCGCGAATTTTGTTATCAAGGTAGATTCGACTCTGACGATTTGAGGTTCGCGTCAACGAAAGAGCGAATCGAACTACAGAGACGAGCCGGCCAATCGACGGTGCTCTCAGCACGATCGTTTACAGAGGATCGCTTTCAATGGTCGGCTGATTGTACGAGTGGTCCTTCGATTCTGGATTAACGATCATTCTTGGGGCCGGTTTGCCCGATCGTAAGCGACGATCACCGCCGAGTATCGGCGGTCAGTTTCCTCCTATCGAGTTTCTCCCGCGTCGAGAACAATTTTGTTGAAAGTTTAACGAGCCTCATACCAGTTCCGCGCGAGAAGTCCAAGTTTTCGCTCTCGAGAAACGAAGACGGCTTCTCCTCTCCCTCCCCCCCCCTCCCCCCGCACAAAGAGTTCAGATCTTGAGATTTATATTTATTAGGGAAGAGTGTCTGTTCGTAGAGCTCTCGTCCGTCCGACAGTCACGATACTATCGTACACGGCTGACTGTTCCCATTGCAAACAGTCTTTGTGTATCTTTAGATATTGACAATTACATTTCCGTCATGTGAACCAGTTCGGGAGATATATATTTGGAGAATGATTGATGCGGAAGATGGGAGATTATATTTCTTTTTTCAGCGAAACAGCGAGGACTAGTTTTCCACGAAAAGACTAAGTTATATCACAAAATAAAAACGATATCGGGTCGATATCTTGCGGTTTATATCGCCTGTACGAGCACTGCCTGTCCATAGCTTTCATCTATCGAATAGTCGCGATATTATCGTGACTGATTGTTCCGCAAATTGCTAACTCCAACTGTCACGTTGTCCTACTCCGGATATCGACAATTGCATTAACGGACACCATCAATACCGCAACCTTCCGTGAATTTTTCTTTTACGTTTGAATAATAAATTATAATAGATTCGGTTCCTCGAAGTCTCCCAGCTGATAAGATTTACAACTTCGTTCCACTTTTATAACATCTAATAGATTTTTTCGAACGTTTAGAACGTTTCCAACGAACTGTCTTATGAGGCTAATGGGAAATACGTGCAAGAAATAATCATACAAAAAAGGTTACTTCAATTTAACGAGAGTTTAACAAGCTTCGAATTAATCCCATATCAAAAGTCTAAGTCTTTTCGTGCCAAATGAATTTTTCGAGATATAGATCGCCATGGGAAAATTGCTATGCATACTTTTCATTCGAATATGTGTACATACATATATTCATATAATAGCAATCACAAACGAGTTATTCCACAGTTGTAAATTGCAATATAATTTTTCGATGTAACAGTATTACGATTTAAATTATATTTAACTTTTATTCCAAGAATCATGAAGTAGGTAAAATAATTCTCAAATTTAGTGATAAATGCCGCGATTAATAGCAATTACTATTAGTATGAAAAATATGCCAGCACGACAAATCAATTATTTCACTTTTAGCATAAATATTTTGCACATACGTTTATTTTAACGGAGTCTGTCGCGTCAATTAAAGGCAAGATCGACGTACTTACCGATAACGGTGAGATTAACTTTCAAGTTTCGCGTCGGCGAGTTTCGGAAATCGACCCTGCACCTGTAGACACCCTCGTCACTTTGTCGAAGGTCCTGAAGTGTCAGCTGCGCCGGCGAGCTCGCACGAAAAGACGCCCGGTGGCCCCAAAAATGCGCGGCGCTCCACAATTTCGCCTTTCCGAACTGCCGACTTCTTGCGTCGTAACTGCAACATCAATCGTGGGAATATGTCAGTAAAATAATCCAAATGGGGAGGGTATCTGCGATTTTTTAACCTCCCCAGCAAACACAGATCATAACTGCAATGTTGCAGCACTATTACGTATAACATTCCAGCTATATTGCATACAAATGTTACAAATATTGCTGTAATATAGTATTATAATCTGTGTTTGCTAGTCAGCTGTTACTTGATAGCGAGAATATTAGTCTCAAAACAGCTTACAAGTTAAATCTTTAGAAACGACATTTTAAATCAATAGCGATTTGTAAAATCATAAAAGAAACGAGACATCGAATGGGGGGGGGAGGGGAGAAAAAAAAGAAATGGACTATATCTCTCGTGTTGCAGAATCGAGCAGAGTATCACCTTTGCAAGAAAAGCATAGTACAAGAAAAGTATAGTACAGTAAAAAATGTATGCCGCTGATTTAATGTAACGCAAACGATTCCGAAGTGAGTTCTTATCGTGAGTGCATTGCACGTTGCATTTACGGTGAGAAGTCTGTTTGCGACTGATATACCTCGTCTGTATCCGCCACGGGGCTCGGGCGAGCTTCGGCGGAGTGTCCTCGGGCCGTGCATACAAATCACGGGATTACCGCCGCGAAATATGTCCGTTCGCGGAGTTAAATACCAGCAGTTTCGCGTGTCGCAAATCGCGGCGCCAAGTCGCGTAGCCCGCGACGCCCGTCCGCCGCACGATACTCGCATTTGTCAGCTCGACGGAAACTTTCTCCCCCTCCCCGGGGGCACAGAGTTATTTTAAAATCTTTCCTTGCGCGCGGCCCGGAAAAAAAAAGAATGATGCGAACGGGAGAGGGATGCGAGCGGCTGGGGGCGGGCTAAATAATGCGGGTTAAGTCGGCCAGCAGGATGAAAGTAAACGGGAGTGAACGAATGGCTGACGACCAAAGTACGACGCACAATACACCCCCGGGCCCGCTCTTATCTGGCCTCGACCAATTTTTCACCGAACTTTCGCAATTCGTCATAGTCGAGGAGCCTGCGAGAGGTGAAGCTCTTCGCCTATTCCCTCCCCCCCCCCTCCTCTCTCCCTCCTCGAAGTCGCCCGAGCTCAAGAAGATCCAATACAGACCGAGAGAAGTGCACTCGACCGAGAGAGTCAGATAACCCCTTACTTCCCAGGTCAGGGCTTTCCGGGGACGGTATTAGGTCTTGCTGAAAAGAAGAGAGCGCGCGCGCGCGCGCTATATTGTTCGTTATGACCTAAACCGGGTAATCCGCGAATACGGATCATGGTATATAATCTGATTTATCGCACACCGATTTATTTACCCCATAAAACGTACGCCGCGCTGCATTTCTTCGTCGTCGAAAAAGTAGGTACCGTAAAGTATATAAATTCCAGAATGCTCGTATAGGTTACGTATATAGAGAGTGCCGATTCTCAATGCTTACAAACGCGTAGGAACGTCAAATTGTGTTCTCCAAACGTGCTCGCTTCCGCTTATTATTATATACGTATATACGAAATATCTTCCTGCGTTCCACCAAGATGCCGAGAGATGTTGTCTGTTTCCATTACTCGATAATCAACTTGTGACGCAGGTGGATCTTGCTTCGCGTACGTGCCTTCAATTATTATCGAGGAACGTATAAGTTCGTAAGTCTAATCGAGCGACGGAGTCGCGACGTTGCAGGCGAAGTTGGCACAATAAGATCCAGGCTCGCTCGCGCGCGCGCGCGCGCACGCCTGTCGATCGCGCCCGGGGTGCGTCGGGAACGACCACGACGCCGAAGTTTCGGCGTTAAACCTCTCACCGGGATCCTCTCCCTCTCTCTCTCGCAGTTGCCAAGACAAATTGGATCGGTTTTTAATGAGCACGATGACTCGAGCTGGGCTCAGCCCGCAAATTCACCGGCACGGCGCGGCGGTGTCACGCCGCGCGAGGACTCACGGCGTTAACCCGCCCTGTCGTGTGTGCTTCCCTCGTCGTGATTTACGCGGTCTACGTGAAATTTAAAGGGTCCGCGAAACACACGTCGACGGGTAAAAAGGTCTAATTGCAACGGACGGCTGCTCTCCGAGGCCGAGCGCGAGTAAATCCCTCGTGGGAAAATTTTATTTGCGAAAGTCGGCCGCGTTGTGTCGCGTGGATAATTAAGCGTGAAGGCGAATGCTGCTAGCGGAACGACGTTGAAAAGCGCGACACCGCATGCAGCTGTATCCAATCATTTCACTCCGATTAGAACGCAAGCTACACTCTTTATACGTGATATTACTTTCGCAGAGAACTTTGTATTTTTTAACAATTAATATAGATATATCTTGTGTGTGTACTCTCTTATTGTACGTTCAATTAAAAAAAAAAAGTTTAATTACGAATTGTTAAGATTTTTACTCTATAAATATTACAAATTTACGAGTGAAAACCGTACATGTATTTCACGTATATATTGTTTAAAAGTTAATTCCATTTTCCACGATTAAAACAAAATTTAATTTTAACTATTTATATTAATTAAATTTTATTTTATTGGATATCACTTCATAATTTCACAAATACACGAAACACCAAACTCACATTTTATCAGATAATAATAATAATAATTCATTTGTACATTTTATTCCGTTAAAGTTTTTTCCAACTCATAAAATGTATATAAACAATACGTTTATACTCCAATACGTAAAAGCAAAATTATGAACTGTACATTTAAAGAGATAAAAATCATAGATAACAATGTATAACGCAAACATTCTGTGGAAATAAAATTTATTCATGAACAAATTTGTTTATCACGCAAAATGAAAGCTAAAGAAAAACGTTATAATCTGCACAAATTACATATTACATATATGTGTAGATGTACAGTCGTGGACAAATCGGTTGCGATCTTTTTATTTATAGGTTTCAAAACGCACTAATATTTTGCAAATGCGAACCACGATTGGTGTTATACTGTCTCTAGACTAAAGATAGTACATCGTGATTCGCATTTGCAAAATACATGTTAGATACCGATAAAATATATATTATATATATTAAATATATATTATAGAAACCTATGAAGAAAAGTGTTCGCAACCGATTTGTCCACGACTGTACAATTACAGATTGTACATTGTTACAAAGTGGAGAATATGCACTTTTTAAGCGAACAATGTACGTGTGTAAATTAATATGTCGCGGAAATTTTACAGATTAATGAAAATTAATATGTAAATAATTATGATTGTAATTCTCGGAATGTTGTCGCGTTTCAGAACATGTCACAGGTATTTTTCAAATGATTATCATTCGGTGAAATTTTAATTAATACAGTCAACGATTCATTAGTGCCGTCGGAAACAGCAACTGCGAGCAATAAAGCACGTCACGATCGCATAAATTCCGTCATGCGCTTTGACGGAGAATTTTTTCACGACATACTCTACGTTCAGATTTGTCGAAATTGGATTATTAATTCTGTCCGAGTGCGAGCACGTCTATTGCGATTCGATGGAACTTTTCTTTGTACGATATGGTACGATTATGGATTGATTATTTCAATGCACATATCGCAAAACATCAATTATTTCTAAAAATTAATATAAAAATGCCAGAGATCTTTACTGAATGTTTTCACATATATATACTTATTTTATTTCTAATATATCTAATAATTAATATTTTTCAAATGCTTATTTTAATTTTTCAGCTAATACATAATATTTAAAAAATTATTAAAATTATTATCTGATAAATTTTAAAATTTTTTAAATAGAAATTTTAAAAATATTAAAAGTAATAATATAACCAGTTTTTTAATAAACTTCTTTTCTATGTTTTGTATCAAGGCTTCACTTATGAAAGAAAAATATAAATTTGTTATGAATATAATTAGAAACGCAACTGAAATTTGCTTAAAAAATACTTTTACAATTTTAAAACATATACATTCTGATACTGATCAAAATGATTATTTGAATTTCATATTTTATGTAATATTAACCTTTGTTTTATCATCTTTTATGTAATCGCACCGTGATAATGCAACTAGCTCTCACTCAGCAAGATTAGATAGCGAAACTTTAATCCGTAAATGAGGACGAGTGGTAAGAGGGATCGACGCTGAGCGGAAAAGAACACAGAGAAGAAAAGAACTGCGAGAGATAGAATGAAAGGGCAGATAGAAAATGGAATGGAGGTGGCAGATGGCTCCTAAACAAATTAAAATAATCGCTGGGTCTTGCCCGGAAGCTGCGCCGGCACCACCGGTCTAAAAGAAGGTCTCCCATGAATACGGGTGGCGTTGGCAAAACGAATGTTGCGCGGAGGAGAATGGAGGGGGCGAGTCGTAAGGGGGACTTAACCACTCTCGGGACTCTTAAAAGGAGCTTAACTTCGCGCATAAAATTAAGGCATTGTAATTGCAGACGGCGTCGCCACTGCGACAGCACGTTCCCCTCCCTCCTCTCCTCAGATTCTTCCGCCGTCCGTTACCTTCCTTCGCTGACCCATTCCTCGCAGCCATCTCCCTTCCTACAGCTCGTTGAGTTCGCTTCGATACCGATCTCGCGCGTTCCCCTTTTTGAAATATAATTTTCCTTCGCTAACTTCGTCGCGCGCTGTCACAGCGGTGACGATGATAGAATTATTTTTAATGTGAAAGTATGCGTATCCGGATGACACAAGTTTCCGTCAGATTTACGGCGAAGGGCGTGCGAAATATTACGGATGATCTTTTCTCGAAAACTAGATGCAAATATATTCAGAAAATACACATTCTTTACAATCGATTTTTCTTAAATAGAACTATTGCAGGATTTTATATCATCTTTATTTCACAAAACATTTACTAATTTTCAAAATTTAGTATAGATATTGCAAAAATGTATGAAATTAAATACAACTGTCGAGTTTTTTTCCTAAACTTTTTGATAAATGTTTTAATGTATCTTTCGCTACATTTTAAGTAATTTTTTGTCAACAAGAATTTGATTAAATCGCTATTTTTTTTGCAATTTTAAAGAATTAT